CTCTAGAGCCTGCGTCCTCGATCCTACAAAATAGCGACCGGTAACCGACCCCGCAATGGTCGGCATCGACTCTCACCGAAAATCAGCTGTCGCAAATACGCTTCCAACTACCGATGCCCTCACCTGCTTGTGCACCAATGCACAAAATCTTCACAGCAAACCAACCGAACTTCTTGTTCGTCAGGTTTTCACTCCTCGGGACGTAGTTTTGGTCACCGAAAAAAGCTGAACATGGAGATCACCGGTGCTGAAATTGCTCTAACCGACATGACTTCCAAGTGCAACGATCAACGAAGAAGAGGAGGCGGAATGTTCCTGTATTAGTTTTTATCCGACCTGCATGTTGGTAACAGTGAGGACCCAGAAACGCAAGTCGTCGATTCTTTTTGGTGTCGTATGTACCTAAGACTCGGTGATGTGTATTTAATAGCGATAGTTTACAACCCTCTAATATTCACCTTGGAAATGGATCAGTGCCTAGGTTCTGCTATAAAGCGAATCCTGACACGACCACGCAGACACGTCCTTCTGGTGGGGGACATAAAGCTGCACGCAATCGAAATCCCGGCATCGCACAGGGTGTACTCTAATGCCGACTCGCAAGAGGTGATTGCCCATGTACCTCTGTATTAGCGTGTCACCTCTCCCACGCGATACCGAAAGGGTGACCAACCCTCTGTTTTTGACTTTGTGCTCACCAATGAGAAACTAATAATCGACACGGTGAACCTAGATGCACCACTTGGCCGTAGCGATCCCGCGATGTTGCTCTTTCGTTATATCTGTTACTCTAAGTTCATCAGTGAGATGAACGCGAAATCTTACGTCGCTAGACATTACGATACCCGTCCACCGTCGTTTAAAAACCGACCGGTCCTTCCTCGCCGTGCAGCCGCTCGATGTTGCTGAGATGGTGTTTGTCACCCAATTCACAGCGCTAGTGGCATATGCGTCAGAACGTAATGTCTTTCGCCCGAAGCAGGTGAACACGTTCCTGAGGATCCGTACTAGAAAAGGCATACCCTCAAGGGATTCAGCCTGGCGCGCTTACAAAGTCTGTCCAAGTCACCTAGTCTGGAGTGCTTACACAACTCAACGAAACCACTGCGGCAAGCGGATCCGCGAAAACAACAGCACCAACAAAACTTAGGAGCGAAATTCAGTACAAATCCCAAATTGCTGTATAGACACGTCAGTAAGCTCCGTAGAGTGCAGTGCGGGATCCTAGTTTTTGTGCAACAGATGGTCTGGCGCAAACTACACAAGATGCAGCCAACGTGCTTCACCAACACATTATCCACATTTTCCAGAGGAAATCATCATTTCCTCCGCTTTTGACACAGCTCCCATCGCCACCAGGGTTAAATCGCGTACCGTTCATGGCAGCCAATATGAGGAAAAGGCTAATGTCATTGCGCATGCACAGCTCATCCGACGTGGACGACATCAAACCGAAGGCATGGAAGACAGCGGCCATGAAACTTGCCGAATCACTAGCTCAGTTCTTTCAACGTTTTCTCGAGGAAATGCAGGTTCCCACAATATTGAAACACGGACCAGTCACTCCTATTTACAAATATGGTAATCGTGCGTAGCCCTCGGACTACCGTCTAATCACGCTCCTCCCAGTTTTATCCAAACTAATGAAACCTATAATTGCAGAGGTGCTCATGGGGTACCTTGTGAGTAACAACCGCCTAGTGTCACAGCTGCACGGATTCCGCCGAAATCGGTCTTGTACTACAAACGTACTCCTAGCCCGAGCAAGCTGGACAGAGTCAGCTGATGCCATAGTAGAGTCGACGTCGTCTATCTGGACTTCTCGAAGGCGTTCGATCGTTTGGACCGCCGTATTCTCCTGCGCAAGCTTCGAACCAATGGAATCGGTGACCCTGTGCTTGATTGGACCGGCAACTTCCTCACTCAACGTCAGTTGAATGTGGCAGTCCGCAGCTCCATTTCCGTCCCAATTGATGTCCAGTGTGGGCGTACACCAAGTATCAGTACAGTGGTCACATTTATTCTTAGCACTCATTAAAGATCATGCCAGTGAATTGCAGTCGATTTTCTTAATATTGGCAGATGAGGTCAACATTTGGCATGACATCAGGACAGCGGAAGCTCACATGGCTTTGCAGAATGATCTCAGCAGGGCTTATACTTGGTCATCCGATAACGTGCTTCAGTTCAACATGGCGAAGTGCAAAGTCGTGAGTATACGCCATCAACTTACCCACGAGTATCGACTTGGAGACCAGCAGTTGCAACATTCTTCCCAGGATAGTGACCTCGGGGTGATAGTGCAGTACGCTCTTGGTTGCTCGAGACAAGCTGAAAAACCATCAAAAGAGGTCAGTCAACATCTTGAAATCTTAAGGAGGGGTTTCCGAAAGTTCGAGCCGTCCATCATTTCGCAAATGTTGAAGGCGTACGTGAGGTCCTAAGTGCAATATGCGATCCAGTCCTGGCTTCCCAGGCGCAAGCGCGATACCAATACACTTGGAGCTCCACCGTGTAGAGTAACCAAACTAGTTAGGGGATTGTTTCATCTCTCCTAGCAGCGCAGACTGCAGTCTCTGAGATTGTACAGTGGTGAAAATCAACGTCAGCGAGAAGACCTCAACATGGTTTAAGTAATACTGACGAACCCAATTTATCCATGTCGCTACCTGCTGCAGCTGAGCCAAAATACCAAGCTGAGAAGCCATTAGTTTAAACTGGTTACGCACTACAGTCGACCTTGTTGTTGACGAAACGTTTTCTCCCTCTGTGTGTGCCGTGCCTGGAATGCCTTTTCAACTCACGGCATCCTTGCCCCTACAGTAACGCTATTCAAAAAGCGTTTTGATGACATGCCTTTCAATATGCATTATTCGACATAATCCGTTCCACTTGGAGGACGAAATAGCGCAAACTAAACCATGTGCTTAACGGCCCTCTCCGCAACGTGGTGGTGAGTATACATGCAGAAGTGTCCATGTGATTAACCTGAATATAGCTGAACTGGACTAAAATAACACATCTGTTAAATGAAGAAACAAACAAGTAAGCGTTGTCGTTCCCATTTTTATGTCTCACACACTTATTGAAATATAACAGCTCTGTATACTATTTTGCGTGTGCACATCTCATTCCCACGTCGAATTATCGTTATGCCGTAGTGCATTTAAATCGGTAGATACCTAAAATGACGATGCACTTATTCCTTGATCCTTTCAATTTTAATTTTCACTAACCGTCCTACGGAACTTGTCAAGCACGATTTTTACCTGTGATAAATCCTTGTTCATTGTTCATTGATAAGTTGTCATTGCTAGTCTACTCATAGACTACTTTCCAAGCCAGAACCTCCTGAAATTCTTTTGCATTTGTATTTTGTGAGTAGCGTAAGGTTCGTAGAAAGTAGAAGTCACGATTAAACTGTACACAATAATCTGCCTCGACGGGGAATCGAACCCCGGTCCCTGGAATTTCCAGTCCGTTGCTCTACCACTGAGCTACCGTGGGCTGACGATCAAGTGCGCCATTTAATACATGACTTCTGCTTGATGCGCGACGTATTGTCAATGAGCTTACAGTAACTGTCCTGGTGTTGCAGCTTGGCTCACTCATTCGTCACTTCCCAGTGGACCGAAGTACCTGTCTTTCTGAAGTCCAAAGGGCGATGGTAGATTACTTGAAGGATGTTTTGTGAGTAGCGTAAGCTTCGTAGAAAGTAGAAGTCACCAGTAAACTGCACACAATATTTACGCACCTAATCGTCAGCCCTCGGTAGCTCAGTGGTAAAGCAACGGACCGGAAATTCCTGGGATCGGGGTTCGATTCCCGTCGAGGCAGATTATTGTGTACAGTTTAATCGTGACTTCTACTTTCTACGAACCTTACGCTACACATAAAGCATTTGTATTTGCGATTGTGTGAGTTTTGTGTAGTTGTCGAACCTGTTGAACCATAGAACTATTGCGGACCTTCATATGACAAACACCGCAACTCGAGATTGTTGGTGGTAAGTTATAAGTTTGACACGACTGCCCATGCGATGTGTTTATGGATGGTAAGAACAGGTTTGACCTTGCGCCGCGTAGTTTAAATTCTGCTAGGAAAGGATCTACCAGGTCTCAAACTCAAATATTGTTGGATAACAAAGTGGCTTCTCTATCTCAAGCTATGGTCAGCTATCCCATGACTGTCAAGCCTGTGATTAGTGAGGTTGTCATCCAAACGCCGATATATTCAGCAGCCCAGTTAGGTGATGTTAACTTCTACCCCCTCACAAGCATAGTGTTCTATCTTATATGAATCTGACCGATTCGGTCAAACATTGCGCTTCTTATTTGTGTTTCTCAAACTAATCCACCATTGCTTTTAGAACTTCTCCTATAAGCACGATTGACCAATCCATGTTTTCACGAAGTTGTAATTCGCAATCAGATAACCGGGGCAGCTAGCCACATTTCCTTTGGTTGAATATCGGCTATCTCAGGTGTGTTTTACTCACAAGTGTGTGTCTACGACTGAAAAGGAAGTGAATAATCGGCAGTGACGCCAGAAAAATAATAGACAGCGGTGAGATTTGGAACCAGTACGTTGGTACAAACCATCAGCACCAGTTTATTCTCGTAGACAGTTTTGACGTGGTGCTTGTCATGACTTTCCTTGGCGTCCCAAGACTTGAATTTAGTGGTCTATTGTAGACCTATTAACATGAGTCCCTCCAGCTCATAACGCTCCTCGACTTATACCTCAGACAAAGGTACATACTTGGGGTGCCGAATTAATAGATATTACATTGCTGCAATGTAACAATTTTAGCTTTTACGTTAAAACATCCTGTCGTTGTTAGGTTCTTTTAGCATGTTTCGTAGGTGCCTAGCACGCGAGAAAGCATCTGGATTGCCTCGATTGCTGAGCGGTCTAAATGTATAGAGTGATTCTCGTAGTAATCCATTTTTGTGGTGCATTGTAGACTTTCTGTTTAAAGACCGAAATATTTGTTTCAGCTTAGACAATATCTGCTTGCAACTCAACAGCAGATGTCATTGTCAACGAAACTTACGTTCTGCTATCAAATCGTCACTGCACTGGTTTGCCTAGAGAATAAAAGATGCGTGCACAGGTAAGTCTTCTTTCTGGGAACGAACCTGGATCTACTACTGTAAGTAGCACCTGACTTTCGATGAGTTATGGAAAATGATAAATGTATCTGTTCACTCATCACTACAACGCCTTATATTAACCGGTCGTTGAGGTTCTATTACATAAACATTAGTAGGCATGTAATAGGTTGGTATTCAGTATTGGCCCACTTACTATTTTAACTTAATTTATGCTGTACGATTCCGAGTGCAAGCAAGTGTACAGTAGTTTATCACGCTATAAGTTGAACGGAAGTTGCTTCCATTAGATCCCACGATTAAAACGGCTTCTCGTTGTAATCCAGCCCCGAGCTACCACAGTAACGCTTCGCTCAGATTGCTATGCGCCAAATTCTTAAGGTTCTTAAACCTACTAGCTTCGAAACAAACGGACTACACCTCAGTATTTGGAATTGGCCAGTGAGTAACTTTTATTTTGTGTGTTTCAGAGATATTGCAGCCAGAAATGTCCTGGTGTTCAAAGGGGATTTGGTGAAACTAGCTGATTTTGGCATGGCAAAAATGCTGAAGGACTCGGACGAAATCCACGGTGAGTATACCTATGATACAAGACCTACTGACGTCTGTGGGTGATACGGATTAAATTCTAGCAATGCCGGATACGCTTGTCGCTGCCACCGAAGTAGAAATGATTCCGTCTAGTCGTAAAAGTTTAGTGCTTATGACGAATAAACCACCACTAATTTGCGTCTTCTGACAGTTGAAGTCACTCGGCGTAAGATCGGAGAGAAAACGTTGAGGTTATTAGTAGGGAACGCAGATGAGGAGACAGGGTAAGTAGCAAACTAACAGAAGCTTTTCAGTGTATTTGAGCAATTATGACCTGGGACAAGATGTGCGGGGGACCAAGTTGGCACGACTGACGTCGCCAGAATAACAACAAATAACCACGGTTTGAACATGAGATTGAACAAAAAAGATACGAAAATTTGACTTAACGAGAGAAGCACGCAAAATTAGTAGGAGTGGAAACGTAACAATTAGATGCAAAAGACCGAATGCAGGAACTCCCTGACTCGGCCACTGGGCTATTCTTGTGATAGTCTCCAACCATTGGCGCGAACCATCCCGGAGCTGTCATCCACGAAAACTGCACGCACCAGCCTGGGGGCGACCTGCCGCTCTTAGGGAGCTGGGACGGACAGACGCGCTTTTCCAGCGCGAAGCGCGCGGACGCCTTGGCTACGCACTTTTCATCGTATTTGCCAATAAACCGGCAGCTGTTCCCAGTACCGGCACAGGTTGCCTCAGTCTTGCTCGACAGCGTACAATATGATGCAGTCGAAGTGTATCAGCTATTCGTCCACCTCGATGTTGCAAAGCCTCCCGGACCAGACGGACTTCACCCACTAATACTCAGGTCCCTTTCGAATGTCATCGCACCAGCCGTGACCAATCTATTCAATAGATCACTGTGAAGGATCGGTCCACAATGACTGGAAATGCTCGATAGTAAGACCGCTTCCAAAGGGTGGTGTTCCGAGTAAATTGGAGAACCATAGACCGATCTGTTTGACTTCGATATTGTCCAAAGTTCTCGAGAAGCTTGTGAAGAAGTGTTTGCTGTCATTCTTCGAATCGATGGACGTATTGACGCCAGAGCAACACGGCTTTACGAAAAGGCAATCCTGCAACACCAACTTAATGCACGTAAAAAGCCAGTGGGTACGAGCTCTCAACGAAGGCAAGTAGGTTGACCTGGTGTACATCGACTTCAATATGGCGTTTGACGCAATGAACCACGAGGTACTCTTTCGTAAATTGAGAACATACAGAATCGGTGGCACGCTACTTCAGTGGTTACACGAGTTTATTGTGGGACGAAAGTTTAGAGTACAGGTCAATGACTACCTGACATACTGGTTCCTATAAGCCAGTGGCGTGCCTCAAGGAACTGTACTTGGGCCAGTACTATTTCTTATTCAAACCAACGATCGTCCGCAGCAGCTCCATAAATCTGGAGGATAATTGAGAACCAGGACGACTACGTTCGCCTTTAGCATGCCTTAGATCGACTGTCAACGTGGTCTACTGAAATTCAACTCCCTCTTAAGGCAAGCAAGTCAAAGTTCATCAGTATCACCAGACGTTCAGCCGGCCAGTTGCTCCACTCCAACACATCTGTCAGAGACATGGGAGTGCTCCCGCGACATGAGATGAGATCGCTAGAAAATACAGAGAAATTATACCATGTGCTTTTGATTTTCATGACATTCATATTATGATAGCTGAATATTCAGTTTCGACACATTTCAGCACCGTGGTGTCATGCAACCTGTCGTTGGATCTGTCTCAGAAACTTTCAAGTATAACCTACTGACAACCTCACTAAATGTTGTAAACGTCTTACTTGGCTGACTTTCTTTACTCGGTTCCAACGTACCTCTGATACGCTTATAGCCAACGTTTCGGTTCACAGATAATTTGGAATGTCCATTTGGCCGATGAATGGCAGAAACTTTTGTTAAGAAAAGGGGATTTATAAAGGAAAACCATCACCTATAAATATGCGGAAAAATCTCTTCTGAAATTATACATGGAATCGATATGTAGGCGAGCAAGTCATTGAATGTAAACGTCTTCCATGGTGGTTTGAACATCACTAGGTTGCCGCATCTTTTAATGCCACCAAATTTTAAGGTCTTATGAAAAGCAGCTACAATCAATCCATGTCTGTTCGATGCAGTTGACAATGGAAAGAAACTACCTATCAAATGGATGTCCCCCGAGAGTATGAACCGGTTGGTATTCAGCTTGGCTTCAGATGTGTGGATGTTCGGTGAGTGGTTGAGTTTATACATATCTTGTCTAGCACGCAATTATTTCCCATTAATGTGACAGGGAAGCGTGAGCGTCCGATCCCTGTTGATCGTATTTTCTTGGGCGCAGCTTAAGTCACATTTGATGTGATTCGTCATTATCTACACTTTATAAGTAGGTAGTCAACTGTGGATCAGAGTAGTTCAACACCAAATCTGCGTCATCGCAACGCACATATAGAGTGATTAATAAACTGCGTTACCCTACATCCTGAAACCGGTTTTCATGTGTCTGGTTGCTGCTGTTTTCTTACGTATGTGCACTCCAAAAGCTTAAGTCCGGTATCGTTTTCTTTTGCTCCCGAAACTTTTAAATACTCGCAGTCCGGGGCGAGCTACCATCTTTTGACTCAGCGAATGACAACTAGTGTCATTACACCGTTGGTCGAAGTGAATTCCTGTGTCTGTGTTTCTAACATTGCGTACTCATTTATTGGAGCTATTTAATGAATTACACTGCTGTTAGTTGCACGCTGCTTGGCGAGTTCGAGATTGTACAAGTTAATGCCACCACGTAATTGCACAGCGTTAAGCAACTTTAGCAAACTCGAGGTAAGCAGACTCTGGAATTCACAGTACAAGTTAATATCATGAAGTATTGCGTCGTATGATCGTGATCTTTCTACTAATTACGTCACTTGTATAGACTATCACAACGCTCTTTGTTCGAAAAGACGACCATTCCTATTCGATATCCGATGGAGATTCGTCACAACCGCAGTCAGTCGGACAGCTATTACTCTTCCGGAGAAGCACCGTACGGTCGTTTCATCCTTTTGAGAATCGTCAGCAGTGCTCGTACCATCTGTACTTTGCGGGACTAGAGCCGCGTCTGTGTTCGAGCCCACTTTCTCACGGGAATGGGCGATGGTTGCCATGACTCAGTAACTAGCTGTGATCTAACGCTTATCCTCATCCTTCTCTGCCATGCGGGCTTTCAACGTGCAAGCGACAGGGTTGGACCCATCAGCAACAAATGTATTTTCAGTATGCTATGGAATTTTGAGATGAGCTGTACAAATTACAGTTTTACTGCGATTCGCGGGATTCTCATCCATTTTGCCGAGGCACTTGAGCACAATCATCCATGCAGGACTTACGTAAGAATGTTTGTAGTCCATTTAGGAAACGACGAATAAGCGAAGATAATCCAAAATTTATACTCAAACCCACTTGGTTTGGCAGAGCAAATAGAAAGCCTAAGCAAGAAATTCTCTCGGTTCCTTCAAATGAGAATATTACGAGACGCAGCAGGTGAGACCAGCCGTCACCGCATACATTCTCATCAATCACATACCGGCAACTGCAAATAGACTCAAAGGGAGCGTTCACATAAGGTCGATTTGTAGACAATTGGTAGCTGACTGTTGCACATCATGCTACCGCGGCAGTTTCATTGTCCCTATAAGCTGTTTTACGAGGGAACAGAGCAAGTACAAGCCGCGTCCCCTGCTGTTCCTTTTTGAAAATATGATGAGAATTTGTTCTTTCTCAAGCGAAGACTCCATGCTTCTCCTGTGAAGACCCTCCTGCGATTAGTAAGTCTATGATGCGAAGATGCATTCGAACGCCATAGCTTAGGATTTCTAAACCAATGTAGTTGATGACCTCTACCCTTGTAATCCTATGAGGCGATCGCGTAATAGCAACACAGTCCGACCACGGCTAATCTTCCGATTCTGTAGTGTGGTCACGTATTTAATAATCAGCTTAAGTAAACATAACTACTCACTTAGAGCATTATCATTTATTGGGTGCTTTTTTGTCGATTGCCTGTAGAATCAGCGTCGTCAATGTTTACCACGGTGGTATCTAAAAGGAGGCCAATTTGCTTAACCGGCAATCTTCAACGTACCTTTGCAGCTAACCACAGAGTAGCAAGTTTCAAGTTGATTTTTCAATCTTTGCTCACGATTTGTCATTACTGTCACTAAATCGAGTACTGATCGAAGGTTTATCCACGTGGCCTAGCTTACAATGCCAACTCGTCGGCTTCAAAGAGCTTCCGTTGATTCTGACTTCGCAAATCTCCACAACCAAGTTAGTATTTTAGTTTAATCTCCCCCACTAATGGCATCTGGTTTAAACTAATCGGTGGATTTATGGAATAGTTTTTTCAACGTCCAATCACAACAGTAAACATGTCTCGTTTCAAAGTAGTAAAATGCTGTCGGTGCGCTAATTCACAACAAAGGGATGGTTGCATTTAAGACCAACAATTATTCCGCAATCGTTATCCAAGACAGGCCGGATGGCTTACGTAAAACGGGAAGCACGTTGGCAGAGTGCATGCATACAATTCCAATCAGGTACACCTTTTGATACATTCAGCTTGGCGGCAAAGCATCACTGTCGAGAATTGCAAATCTTATAGCCGTATTCTTTGGTCTGAGAGCGCTGAAACCCGTTGATGCTTAAATCTGTCCTGCGTTTGGCTTCCCAAAATATTTAAAGCAGGAATCTTGTCAGTAATTTCAGTAGTTAATTCACCTTGCTCAGGCATTGCTAAGCAGTCGAACTGCTTTATTATGCTCTTTGTTGTCATACCTATTCAGGTACGTGACTGATGAGAAAGCAAATGGAATCATCAGGTCTGCAACTTTAACTAAACGCTACTCATGGATTCGATTGAGGATATTGCGCGTGCAACCAGGGCACTCGGCTCTATACACCATAAACTAACCAGTGAGACGGAACGCGCTGATTATCTCCCATATCTAGACATACAACTTCCATGACGCTAGGACGTATCGAGCTAACGAACAATCCACCGAAATGCGACTTGGACGAGTCAGAACCTGTATTGTGAAACGATTTGCTGATGCAAAACAAGTGTGTTTTAGTCTGGATAGATTAGCCTGATGTGACTGGCACTGTAGGCACGCTGAAAGCAGGTACCGTGTTGCTGCTCTTTACGCCAAAATCTGATGGTTGTCCATTGTAGTTCTTAATACACCCCGGTTATATAATCAAGCGAGATTGAACGATAACGGCCTAGAAGAAATTATTGCTTGCTGAACTGCGATTCACAAGTGACGAGAGCATGAAGATCACCATAAAACGTATAATCACTCACTAAAGAACATGCAATGCAGCCGAATTATGCTTGCTCATGTCAACTGAATTATTGCTTAAACATCTTGTGAACACCAACGTCGAGGCAGTGCACGCCACACCGTCAAGTGGGATTATCTGCAGCAGTGGAGACACTTATCATGGGCACACTGCTCGACCGCTGGATGTTCGAATCGACGAACACACTCTGCAAACATGTATAATCCCTAACTGTTGAAGACGACAGATCGAGCAACATGGTAGCCTTATTAGTCAGAAGAGGTTTACAGAACTCCAACTAGAATCCCAATTTTTGTACGCCATTCACAAGCACCAGGCTCAAGTATGAAGCTAACACTCTCGCATTCCTTGATGACTAGCGTCTACAACTATGCGTGAGACAGCTGAGAACAAAAACTACATTTACTGTGGCAGCTTTGAACCGGCTAACCCAGCCACGATGACATTAGTCACAAGTTACACACACGCAAGACACTCTTATCCCACAGGATGTGGGATGAAACTTCTTTAGATTATGTCGAAATTCGTTGACGCTGTGGTGACAGTCCCATTGTAGACGGCATCGTAGAATCTTGTTGGTCAATCTTAAGCAACAGGGCTTACAAACCTTCAAGTTAGACTAAAATTCTGGTGAAGTTTCGACGAAAATTTCATCGAGAACCAAAGCAATAGAGTGTTTGGTCATTTTACCTAGGCATAAATTGACCAGCCTAATCTTTCCCTAAATTCGCAGGAGTTTGCATTTGGGAAATCGCGTCGAGTGGATCAAAGCCGTTTGCAGAATTCACGAACGAAGAAACGGCAAGCATGGTGGCACGTGGCGAACGGTTAAAGTGCCCGGAAGCATGCCCTCTTTCCCTCCACGCCATCATGCTGGAGTGCTGGAACGCAGATCCATCAAAACGTCCCAAAGCCTCAGTTCTGAAGACACAACTACGGTGAGATGACAGTATCGAGTACAACTTCAAAGGACCACATTAAATCCTTAGCGAAATGCTAAAATATGCTGCGCTCTTTTCAACCTTTTATACAGTATTGTGTTGGTCAGGGAGCATGGAATAACGTTGCCCGAAAGCTGATAGCACCTTTCTCACCTAAAAGCAAAAATTATAACATTTTATTTAACTGTCATTGACCGTAATAAAACTGCTACGTGTTCATACTAGCAATTTAGACTTCATCCGGCAAACGTTACATTTAAAGATGCTCTCCGTGGGACTTGCCGTTATAATAATTAGATTTACAGCCTTTTGCGTGGTGATCTCAAGTCATAAAACATGCACATTGAAAAAGATATGACAGCAATCCTAAATCTCACTTTGCTTAAATGTAAGTACTACCTGTTATTTCATTTCACTTTCCCCCGCACAAACTGTAAGTGTTATGGTCTGCCTACTTCTAATTAAAGGGACTAAAGTGTTGTGTGTCAAAAAGCGAATGCTGTACAAGTACTCTCAGTGAAAGGTGCTTAATCAGAAAACAACAAATAGCGCGGTAGCTCACCGCAGTGTTAGGTACTGGCCCAATTAACTCGATCATCTTCACTAGCAGACTTATGCAACCATTGTTTGTGGTTTGACAGCACACCAAGACTGACTCTTTGTTGGTAAGATGCTAGACGAGTTTGGGGATAACGCTGCAAACGAGTACTAGTTAGCGTGACGTACAAGATGGATCATAAGGGAAGTCATCAGTGCGAGACGCGTGTTGGCATTTATACATCGAGCGTTGTCGGCTAATCAATCCCCTCTGGTTGAAGCTCAACGGTTCTAGGCACGTGTGCATTTCTTAACCTGAAGTCAAACTGAAATCGATATCATACCAAGCACATTGACGCATTCTGTGCTACGTCAACGAATAACTGAACGGTATCTTTTCATTTTTGTCCCTAAACTAGCGAACTGATGGCTCAATCCAAAGTGAGTACCTGGGACCAGAGTGGTGCTGTATGGTGTGATTCAATTGAACTCTCTTTTATACAGTTTTAAAGTTCCTTTGTTACTTAAGATGACATTCGGCAATTCTGATTTACTTTATGGGGTGCCTACACACATAAGCTGCAGCCGCCCACCATTAGTTGAGTAGATTCTTTCATAGCTAACGACCTTCTAAAGTGTGGTAGGGGTATCAGTTGTGTTTTGGAGAACATTCATCGTAAACGGATCCACCAAGGCTGACACCGCACATCCAAGAAAGTGGTAAACGGTCATTTCACTCCATTGAGATATGTCAGTAGTGCGCATCTACCGGGTTCTGCTGGATCCGAACCAATGGTCCTAATCTCATGAGTCAGGGGACTGAAAAGGCAGTCATAGCTCACGGTGCCAGCCGTGTCTTCTTAGCGTCCATAACATGCCTGACAGTGGAGGATTAGCCGTGCTATATCGCAGTTAGATAGTCATGGCAGTCCGCCGCGGAAACCTATAGTTCCGCGCCATAAATTGTAAGCTTGTAACAGTAGGGTCGTGGGTTCCAATCAGGCGGTGTACGCAGCTGACGTGTCCAATAAGACTAAATGGTCTACAAGAAATAACCATGTGGTGAACGTTCACTGCAAACTCCTTTTAAATCAATTTAGGCTATCGTTACTAACTTAAACAGCTGGAACTCGTTGTGGAGTTCATTCAAAAGGTTGGTTGGCTTTTAGTTTCCAAGGTTCAGTGTAAGCTACTTCTCCTAGTGTCTGGGTTCCCTAGTTCTGACACGTTAATGGTACAAAGTTGTCTTCAGTATTCTTTATGACAGATATAACTGTATCTTGTTCCATCCCTGTTTTAACAAACGAAATAATTTAAGTGCTTGAACAGTGCTTGAACTTCAAACTCGCACATCACAAGCCATAACTGAGGTGTTCCAATGGAGCTACCAATGTTACACTAATACAAGTATTGTTACCGGTGGCAGACAGTTGGCACATCCAAGCTCTATCAATGTAGGAACTTGTAAGCTTGATACATAACTTAATTTGCTCATGGACCTACGTCGTCTGATTTCACTTCTAGACGTCAGTGCTGTTAGCTGGCCGCTCATCATGGATACCGAAGTACTCGGAAACCATGAAGGCACAAGGCACCCAACCGACAGTTCGCAAACCACCTGCGAACAAACCTCACAGTAATTGGCTGATTGTGACCGAAATCGGTGACGTTGGACGGTTACCGTCAGCCACGCCCCATCAGATTTCTGGCAACAATGAAAATACTCTGGCGACATCAACCAGGATGGCGCGGGAGACCTTTCGAGAAAACTCTGAGCTGAGGTGGCATTCCACGAGTGACCTATACGTGAAGCCAAATGTACTGCGAACTGTAAGTCACTGTACCACTCTCTAATTCTCGTATTAGTTTCATTTTCAAACGTGCTAATAAACCACAAAGCAAATAGATCGCAACTTCCTATGGCGTGTCCTTTACACATTAATGAGCCCAGCAGCGACGCGTTTAGGTGAAATTACACATTGTGAATTTAGTAGAGAAAACCCGACGTCGGGCAAAGCACTGGGAGACCGCTTTATCTTCGCAGGATTCGTTGATGCTGCGTAATCTCTCACTTCAGCAATAAGTGTCCCTTCAGCAAAAATGTAGGCACTTAGACCAAGTTGAAGGGATACAGGCTGGTTTATTGAGTGTAAAGGACAAATTACCCCACGCCATGCTGTGTGTTATCATCTTGCAGCTAACTGTCGGCAACATGGTCAAAACTTCGAAATGCGATAACTGAAGCGCTTACCTATCCGCTGCACAACCGTACTTAAGTGACCCTGGGATGCGATATATGATAAACGGCTACTTAGCCAACTTTGCTGCTGGCTTCCAACTTGCCCCAGAAGCCAAAGACGTCGAACCTGATTTCTGACCACTCAATGAGTAAATGAAAGGTATGATTCTGGTTTTTCGGGACCTAACTTGGAACTAATTTTCTGTACTTGTAGATGGTTTCATTCTAATCTTTCCATCACTCATTTTTAAATTGTGTTGCAGTGCCGAATGAACCGTCACCACCGGAAGAGCAGTATTTCCGCTTCTCACACGTGGGATACTGGTCATTTTGGCACTCCAGCGAAAGTGACAACATATGCAGCGAACGATAATCGGCTTAGCTAATTGTAGGCAATCGGGGCAATAGACAAGCCTTTTGGGTCACGTAATTTGATCTTCACGAATGTCTGAGATTGAGACAAACATGAGCTTCAATAATACATCCTGATAATATTGGTTAGACAGTAACAGGGCCAGGGTTTTTTTTAAAGACATTCTGTACTGAGTATCTAGTCGTGTAGCTGAACGGATTCCCAACAGCAATGGGTTGGCTTAGACTTTATTGTTTGGGTATTTTGTGTGTGTGACGAAACTGATCCACATACACAAACCCCACCGTTACTTATTGTTGGGTGTAGAGTGCTTAGCTTACAGCACACATTATGAATTCCGTGCTTTGTCAGCCCTAAGCAGTAGATGGCGCCTGAAGGGGGAAGATTTTCACTTCAGTCTAACAAAGCGAAATAGGCTATTGAATGCAGAGTTTAGCGTGAATACTGTCGAAACGACTCTTCACCACAAGCCCTCTGAATGTTTAACCGGATGACATTGGTCATTTCGACGCAAACGTTTGCTATTCACATTGGGAACCAGCCGGTTGAGCACTCCTGGGCATGTCAGACCAAGCAACAGGTAGCACAGCAATAGTGTGGGTTAAAGAAGGACTCTTTCCTTGTTTGAGAGGTGGTCGCCGAGGCACCATCGTTTGGTCAACATGTGGTGCACAATTAATGAGTGGCGTACAATGAACGAACCGGTTGAATGGGATCGGGAAGATTCTGATATATTGCGGAATCATAGTGCATACTGCGCACCCAACCACGGCTTATAAAAGTGTAGGACGGAAGGGCTCCATGCGTATCACGCAGTTAGATGGAGTCAAGGAGCAGAAAATAGAGGCAAAATAGAACCACAGATGAATAATGCAGATGAGCACGGTTCTTATGGGTTACTTGCGTTGTGCAAGACGGACAAGTTACCCAACCCGCAGAACCATCTACAGGTTCTCAAGGAACACTGCATTCCAGTAGCTGCGTACGCATACTGGTCGGTGGAGATCAGCCTCCACCAGGAGTAATTCGGAATTTATAGACATATTGAACAAATCCGTCTCAGGTGAACATATTCAGGTCGTCACGAGATAGCTTGAAGCGTGTTGGGCTGTTATTTCCTTCTACTGTACTCATACGCAATGCGCATCACTAGAATTCAACGTGCTCAAACCGGCGGTCACCCGCCTACCAGGTAGCGTTCGTAGCAACTAGACACTACTACTCCCTACTAAACATCAAGCGCCTTAGCAGCCTACATGCAACTTCGATCAGTTGCAGCTTGTAAAAGAAGTCGTTGCTCTGGGGCCCAGCCTTGCCCACTGTCCTTTCATGACATCCAAGACAGTGGAGGATGAGCAGCGCTATCTCGCAGTTAAATAGCATAGCAATCAGCTGCCGTCACCCATGGCTCAGTGACATAAGTCGCCGGCTCGTAACAGTAAAGTCTTGGGTTCGAATCCGGCAAGATTCGGCGGGTGCGCGCTACTGACGAGTCCCAATAGGATGACATGACCGTCTAGCGCTTTACTGGATATGTAGTGTCTGTCTGTCTGTCTGAGCCTAGCATTGACTAATCTTCACAAAAGCCAAATAATTCCTCCTATTACCCACTAATTACCGGTTAGCTACTTATGCCAATGAGTCTTGATTGGAGGCGAGGGGCGTAACGACAGAAACCCACAGCGACATTTCTTGCCGCCGTGAGGAACATAGAACTTATTTGGTGAATAGCCAATCTAATTCTGGCGTTGTGACGTCTCCGATGATTACTGATAGTAGTAACATCTACCAGTAGCCGTGACACACCTTCTTAAGCCAGTTCTGCCGAACTCAAAGGCAACACTCACTGGTTACTCACATATCCTGTTCGTGTTGTTCAGAAACTTTAAACCACAGTTTTAAACGACTACTCTTCCACTCATTTCCCATTTAGAGCATGCCACATGTAAGTTCAAGCCTTCGGCTATCGCATCCAACCGACGTTGATGCGGGCGATGATTTCCAATCCTTCGAACAACTCCATCGACACTCTGGCGCTGATCCAGAGATAGCTGATCCTGAGGTACGTGTCATGCAGCTTAAATGTAGGCGTTTTGCAAAAATCGATTCTTCCCAAGTTACCACTGTAACGTCAAACTGCTCGTTGATTGTGACAGTTTTCTGATCCGGATTTTACGCGGTTATCATGCGTAAGAATCTACTGTGCGCCAGCTACTTTAAAACAAGGAGCGTTTGATTGCATCTATTTGTCTTCTCACATCTTGATTTGTCTGCGATTTCTGGTAAGGTAGTGTAATCATAATCGTAAAGTTTTGTTCAGATCCTGCATCGTCTGATCTTATCCCTTTTGGGTTTCTTCACATTAGCACCAGACCATGAAACGCGATGAGGAGTTTGTTCGTCAAGCAAGTGAGTTTCCCCGTTATTGTCCCATTTGAGTAGCCGTTCTGTATCAGATCCGGACCCAAACTGCCAACCGGCTTCTGACTTTAGATGAACTATCTGATCTGATCGTTCCGCTTACGCATTATGCATAATTATCAGCAGACGAATCGACACATACACGGAGAGCATTTATAAAAGTTTTTTCGCAACGCCAGCTTTACCAGGGCTTCATTTTGATCCACACCATTCAACTACTTTCCTGTGATCCACTTGTAGACTTATAGACTTAGACTTATATAGAGTTAGAGTACTGTAACCATAAGTAATGTAGGGGATCCACGATAGTATTACACGTGATGAAACTTCTCCTATCACTACTTAAGGCGCAGACTTCCCGAGGACTACCGCTTTACAATGTGCCATAGTAGAAACGACTGATCAGAACGTTGTCAAAGAGATATTTCTCGTACACTTAGCAGTATGTAGGAGTTGGAATTTATCTACTTTAACGTGATAGCTCACTGTCTTCTGTCACAGCATTGGGACGATCGAGACACTTAATTCAGACTAATTTTGTGTTGTTGATTCCCTCGGAAAGCGACCTGGCTGCTGCATAGTAGCAACTACATGGCCTATTCAAACAAGTGGCGTAGCAACTACTATTGACGCCCGAGGTGATGGTGAGATTTTCGCCCTGACTGAGGGCAGAATAGGCGCGTGAAGTCCACACAATCGACTCAGGGTAAAGTACACATTAGTTTTTGATGAAATGGATGATCATGATTTGGGACACTGAACTTAATGTGGTGGAAGTGAACGCAATGGGACAAATAAGAGGACTGTTGGGAAGAACGTTTGCACAAGTGTGACACATGGCACATGTGTGTTGTTAGCCGTACGGAGTAATATTAAAACATTCAATCTGCAGCTTATCTGGATACTTTGCTATTTACTTTTGGTATGGAATAATTGACAGTACTAAGCTTTAAAAATTGCATAGTATGGAATGGGCAGTACACAAACTTCTACAGCCTTGTGCCACTTAGCTTTAAACGGAACTTGATAAATACCCTAGGGAGCCGAGCTGAACGCATCTGCTCGAACGACACGCTTCCGGAAGAATTGCAGTGCATTCGCTTAGCATTAAGGAAGAATGACTATCAGGAAAGCTTCATCAGAGCCAATATGGAACATAAGAAGAAAAAGCCTGTAGTTTTGACAGGAGAACGTAAGCCAATCTTCCTATAGCTGCCATACAAGTGCTAGGTAGCGACGGAACTTCTATCTCATCGTCTTTCGTTTGCACTCAGACGCACCTATCCAGCAGCGCAGGTGCAACTCCAGTTTGCTAGCATTACGATGGTGAGACTAAACTCATGGGGTAAGAGGCCTGTCCGCACCGACTCAATGTGCCTCTACTCATTTTCATGTCCTGTGAGCAAAATACATTGGTCCGACGACATAGCATCTATTTGAGAGAATGAAGGAACACCACCCGGTCGGGCTTGGAACTGGAAGCGGGAATACAGCGAACTCTTCAATAGCCGCGCACCTAGCCGATACAGGGCACGCCACAAGGTTCACTGATTCGTTCAAAATTATCTATCCGGCCTCAAAGAACCGCTCGAACTACTTCCCCAAGTGGCTACTAGCAACAGCTGAAGCAATTGCGATCCGGCTGTATAAACCGGAGCTATGTGTTCAGAAGAAGCTAACTAAAGGTTTGGGACGGCCCTGGCCCAAACGGCCGGTGACCTCTGACCCACGAGGTCACACGCCGTCGGTTGTTGTCACTTAACAGACAGTGCTGTCAGCATCCAATTAACACTCCAGTAGTAACGACTTGCAATGTCTGCCTGCACACTTTGATTTGCATATAAATGTATAAGCCTGAAGATGAATTATCGAAAACATATGTTCGCTTACCCTGACTTCTGATAGTACTAAGATTGACGCGCTGTACCAAATGCCGCCCGGGACGGACTGCTCCCCTCCCATGCTTCGCCTCTGATTCACAATCATCATCATCATCATCATTATACATGTCAGCTAGAGATGGTAAAACACCTCCGCTATTGTACCGCAATACATAAAGGAAATACATACATACATACAATACATAAAGGAAAAATAAATACGACAGTTGAATGCCAGCTGAGCTACCAGCAACGGATACGCATCGTTCCGGTAAGCTACTAGCCGGCTACTAGGCAAAAACAAAAATTTAATTACGTTTTACCCTACGAAATAATATCGTAGATGGAGGGGGAGGCTAAAGAGATGGGGAGGGACAAAGAAACTCACAGCAGGAACGCCACTGAGGTCGGCTCCTTGCCATATCAGCAAGTGTATCCAGCCAAACGTGTTCACCGTCTTTTGGACCCCAACCAGGGAGCCGTGAAGCTCCAACTGAGGCCAGCTCCGAAGTGAGGGCCTTCATTCCTCTGGACCAAGTCATCGCTTGGCCACCTCTCCTCTTCTTCCACCCACATCCCCGGTGAGCAAACAACGCACGTCGCGGGAGTCGGTGGGCTGGCATGCGCAACACGTGGCCCAGCCATCGGAGCCTGGTGAGTGAAATGACGGTGCTGAGCGGTTCATTCCCTTTTCCTAGGCCGTAAACAAGGCGTCGAACACGCTCGTTACTCACGCGGTGTTCCCACCATATGTGAGCCAAACTGCGAAGGCACCGATGGTCGAACGTAAGTAGCCTCTTCATGTCCGCCGATCTTAGGGGGCCAGGTTTCGCAACCGTACAGTAAGGTCGAACGTACCGCTGCATTGTACACTCTACCCTTCAGGGCGAGAGTAATGTCGCGCCGTCGCCATAGGTGGCGAAGGTTAGCAAAAGCACTTCGAGCTTTCGCTATGCGGTTCGTGATCTCGTCTTTGATCCCAAGGGCACTGATACAACTTCCCAGGTAGTTGAATTTTTGAACGACTTCTAGCTGATCCCCACCAAGGGTCAGCACAGGGGGCGAACCCTGCCAATCCTGGAGGAACGCTTTGCACTTCGGTGGTGCAAAGCAAAGCCCGAAGCGACTGACAGCCAGTGCTAATCTATCCAGCGCGGCTTGACACGTCTGGGAGCTGTCACAGATGAGGGCAATGTCGTCTGCATACTCTAAGTCAAGAAGTCGTTCTCCTGGGAGTAGCTCCACACCTTCCAAGTCATGTCCTGTAAATGCAATCTCCATGACTTCGTCAATAGCGAAGTTGAAGAGGAAAGGTGACAGCGGGCATCCTTGTCTCACACCGCTGGAGATATTGAAGGGTGGCGACAGCCTGCTGTAAGCCCTTACTCTGCCCGTGCTACGCGCATATAATGCTTGGATAATATTTACATATTTCTCGGGCACACCTTTCCTGAGTAGACAATTCCAAAGTACACATCGATCAACCGAATCGAAGGCACCTTTGATGTCGAGGAACACGACTACGGTGGGCCGCCAATATGTGTGACGGTGCTCCAACAACTGACGCAAGGTGAAGATGTGGTCGATGCAGCCACGACCCCGACGAAACCCGGCTTGCTCCTCACGAATGTGGTTTTCACGAGCGCCAGTCAGTCTGTGGAGAATTATGGAGGCGAGTAATTTGGAGGCGATGGAGATCAGACTGATTCCTCTATGGTTGCCGCATTCCGAGCGCGAGCCGCCTTTGAAGATGGGAACAATAACGGAGCGGCTCCAGTCGGTTGGTACAATCTCCTGATCCCACAGTTTCACTAGTAATTCATGCAAAGCATCAACAAGAGCAGAGCCTCCAAATTTGAAGAGGGCTGGAGGAAGATCATCTGGTCCCGCGGCTTTGTTCAACTTCAACAGTCCGATCTCACGTTCGACTTCTGAGCGAGAGGGTGGATCCAAAGGGACAGCCCACGGAGCTGGGCGATCAGTGACCGGCGAATCGAACAATTCTTGCCGATTAAATTGCTTTTCAAAATGCTCAGCCCAACGCTCCAGACGTTTTGACAAATTGTGGATAGGCTGTCCACTCTCGTCACGTATAGTTTCACTAACACCAGGTCTCCTGCTGCCCGTTTCCCGTATCAGACGGAATAACTTACGATGGTTGCCAAGGGCAGCGGCCACTTCCATCTCTGACGCACGATGAGACCACCAAGATTCGCGGTCTCTCTTCAGGCTAGCACGGAGTTTTGCCCGGAGCTCTTTGCGAGTTTCATTGTGCTCGCTTCCAGCCGGGATTTGCCGGCGAGCATCTATAAGTTCCAAAGACTGCGAAGAGACCCAATGTCCATGTTGTCTATTAGACATACCACATGAGGATTTGCCTGCTGCTAGTAAGGTCTGGCGAACATGTGACCAGTGACCATCAATTGTCTCCTGTGAGCGCTTGCTCAACTCGCATGTTAGCGTACTTCGATACGCATTCAGAACAGCTGGTTTTGTCAGTTGGTTGGTGTCAATACGCTCACAGCGTCGTCGTGGGCGTCCGCCAAAACGCATTCCCATGTCAGCACATACAAGTGCATGATCGGTGTCCACACATGTGCTCCAAATCGAGCGACAATTCTGGATGCAGCCTCTCCAGCGGTAACTTATCGCAATGTGATCGATCTGCGTCCAAGGCTGGTTCGAGGTTGGTGGGCGCCAAGTCACCCTTTGGCGGGTGCTGTGTCGGAAATTAGTGCTCGCAAGAAATAAGCGAGCATCTTCACACAAATGAAGTAACCGCTCACCGTTATCATTACGGGAGCCTACACCGTGTTGACCGCCCAGGTGCAGTTCATCAGTGGACAACTTTCCAACTTGTGCGTTCATATCCCCCGCCAGCACAACAGTGTCCGTGCTTCTTCTGTGGCGAAGGAGCTGGGTCAGTTGGCGGTAGAAGTCGTTCTTTACCGAATCATCACTACAGTTTGTGGGCGCATAGGCAGCGATGATGAATAGACATCTATTAGTCCCGCGCGACTTCGAAGCTTTAAACGAGCCAGCCAATCGGACCGCACACATCCGGCTACTGATTGGAATCCAATCAACCAGAGCAGCTTCAGCCCGGGGACTCAGGGCAATACCAACACCGGCTTGGCCGGTGCTCGAAGCTGCATCGTCACCGGATAGGCGCAAGGAGAAAATACTGCTTGCGTCCCTTGAAGGGGATCGCAGAGTGAGCACAGTGCTCGAGTCTTGCAGGCGAGTCTCTGATAAGCAGCAGATATCGATCGAGAGGGTCTCTAATGTTCGGGCAAGTGCTGCCTGTTGACCGATTTGTAGCAGTGTGCGTACATTGAGGCATGCCAATCTGAAGGAGGATCGAGGGCTCCAAATGGAAGCCGATGAACTGGATTGGACCGCTTGGTTGGACATGGGCTTGTCGACAGGAGAGGAGTGACGTTCCGCGTTCACGTGTGAGTTGAAATTAGAAGGTAAATGCCTAGCAAAGCATGTTGGGGGAGGGCCAAGAATCGGGGGGTTGAAAACTGGGGGTATATAAGTGAAGTTGGAATGGGACGGTAAGAGTGAAAAAGCGTAAGAGGGGGAATAAGAAGACGGGAAGGCTTGAGCAGTAGCATCCAAACCCCTATCCACCCTGCTCGATGCAGGAGATAGGGCACCGTTTATTATCCTCTGCGGTGGCCAGAGCATCAAGAAATTGTTTGAAGGAAAATTCATAGTATTGCGTGGGCAGGATACTGTCAGGTTGCCCAGGCCTAGACAGGAGAACGATTAGGGTTCTCAACCAAAGCCTTTGGTTCAAAAACCTGACCGCAAGGCAGCGGGTTTGGTGTTGGGCTACAAGGAGTCCATTTTAAGGAATAAGGTGCCACCCTCATTCCAACCCCCAACCTGGAGGACCAGGAGGCTGAGTTTGTCTGGCCTCTAACCATTGACCAATCTGGTATGAGTGACTCTGAAGGTGCAAAAGCACCATCCAGCATAGCTCAATGGATCTCTGAGGCACACAAACCATCGCACCACGGTAAGGTCCAGCCTCATTTCGATGGTCTGATTCACAATAATAGCTCTCAGCCTAAAGAAACCTCACCCCCCCCCCGAAGGCGGGTTCACATGTTCGTAGAGTTTATGGGGTCAGGTGTTTTGTCTTCCGATGGGCATTATGTTGTATTCTCAGGGGGCATGACCGACTGGGCTTCTTATGTTTACGCCTTGAACGCCATTGGATAAAAGGAGCGTATTCGTGAACCGAACACTAAACGGATTGACAAGCGAAGAGTGTCGCCGCTACCCAAGAATATTCCATGCTAAACGAAATTCCTTCTGCCTCCTGAACCCGGGGAGCTTCAGACCCCTGTTAACCTCTCATGTGCACCCGATTGTTAAGTCTGGAACACCTGCTACCAATCTTCCTACCAAACTCGAATGTGACATAATTGAGGAGGTCCAATCGCTTGGATCGAAATCCGTTTCCAAGCTTCGTGACATGGCCTATCCCCTCCAGCTTCAACATGTTTACCTGTTCGCTCTGATTACCGTCGTCATCTTGGAGATTTCATGTTATCTGACGAATTTTCAGAGGAGAACTGGGGTAGTTGCCGCAAGCGTTATTTCATCTCGACATTGGAACTACGACTAGAAGTCTTCGTTGGAAACTGTTCAAAAGGAAGTGACTCAGACTGTTGTCCTTGTTCTTGCTCTAAATAACTGGGACCGTTTTCCTGAGTTCTTTGTTGATGCACAGGGAGAGAGAGTGATGAAAGTCGTAAACTTGTTGACTTCGCCGCTCTTGAGTGTATTGGGATCTTGTTGTTTCTATTATGGCTTTGACAGCTCTATGCGGGGCTTCGTTTCGCAATGCTCGAGTCATCCCTGCACCGATCGCATAGTGACGGGGCTCACAAATGATATTTCTGTACCCTATTATCTTTTGAACTAGTGAAACCACACCACTACCATTCAAAACATAGTTGTATGTGCATTAGATTTCATAGGATCTCATAGGGTCATTAGATGTGTGTCGTATGAAACAGACGACAGGAACACGAAATTACGAAAACACCCTGGCCTGGTTGTAGAAATGGCTTGTTCCGATACCAATGACAGAGATGCTAGTTGCAATTTGAGCACTGGCCTTCCTGAACAAGTGATTTTGTTTCTTCTCCTGTTTGTACTCGACTTTGGACTATGTGCTTATGTTTTTCTATGCAAGCTACAAGGCTGAGGCAGATTCAATTGCACCACTTTGCTTTAGTTTTCAGACACTTAGTCCTAACCATAAACATTTTCAGTCCAAACCGGTGTAAGACAGAAGGTTTAGCGACGACTGGTCGTTCATCAAATCCATTGCACTGGCACTACCGTACACTTTTCCCCTGGTGAGAGTAAATTTGAGTATGAAAACGGCAAATGGAGTTGGTCACTTTGTTTTGTTCGATGGTTGTTTTTTGAACACCATGGACTTCAATATTCTAGTACCGTATACGGAACGCAGCTGTATGCGAACAGTAACTCATTTCGAACAGCTGCAGAGCACTGATTATGCTCTTCAAATTACAGGATTGTCCGTGAATGCGAAACAAACAAACCGGCCTGAAAGTAGCCTGAAAAGTCAAAACCAACCCGTTACCGATGTATCCCAGCTGCATTGTAAGGAATCAAAAATGAAATCGAATAGGTGGCAAGGAGTACCTGGGACCGAGGCTACTGAGCAATCAGAAGATGGTGGCGAAGTCCAGGCTGATGAGGTCTATCTGGCCACAGTGGAAGTGGTGCAAGCAGTTCGGGTAGTTGGCAAGCAGTTAGCTGATGTCTCTCCAGAACATTTTGAAATTTTGTCGCAAGTGAGTACGAAAAATTACCGATCTGTAGCACCGCCCCTTCATATATACTAAAACTGCATCTTTTTTGCGATATGGAAGCAAATGTTGGTAGCTCAGTTTGTTCAATTGGTGGTCTGAGTGTTCGCTGAGCTCGGCACCTTGAAATGGATGCTAAATATACAGCAGTACGGATGAAAAAGCACCGAATTAGTAGAATAAGTCTAACAGAACAGAACGCCAGACTACTGCATCAAACGACGACAACCGAAGAGTCACGCGCGCGTACACTACGAGGTGAGAATCAGAGATCGATTTCGATGGTCATGTGCTTGCCGGACAATCCAAACTCAGACTAGCGGCTAGGAGATCGATCACTCACACTCACTGACGCTTTGTACGCGCCACTCTGCTAATTACACGCGCACTGACGATGTCACCTCGAGTGGTGACGAAATGTTTGCAGTCAACCTGCCAAGCTCAGCCAACACTCAGACCACCGACTGTATATTCTTTGACGATGCGAGGTGCTATTCCCTAGAAAGAACAGATCAAAAATTGTTACATCCTTTACACGTCCATGCATACATTAGATCCAAATGTACGCTCAAAACGTTCAAATTAAGGTGACACAGATAAATCCGAATTCTTTGATGGTTTTTGCAACTTGTGAAGAACACGTAATTTCACGAAATTTGAGTAATAATCGGTCCAGAAGAAAAAAACGAAAGAAAAGCGGCGGTAAGACGAAAAATGATATGCGTATGTTCATTTAGCAAGATTATATATCTTGTAGGTAATTTAGTCAAACGTCATCAATACCCTTCTCAAAATCTTATCAGGGGGTCATGATGTCCCAAGCATATTAATCTCATTTTGAACCGTTAACTACAAACTAATCACAAATTTTAAGTTACGCAGTGTTCGATATGATCTGATATCTCTTGGAAGTTTGTTCTAAATCATTGAGTATTGGACTAGAAAAGAGGATCACAGGTTTTCGTACTAAGATTTGGGAACTTGACATTTGTTGTGGACCGGGTAACTGCTGTTGGAAAAAATGAGAACGCCGTCCTCACAGCTATGAATTCGATGCCTTATGATTTGGTAAAGAAAACACAGGTAAAACTTCATTATCGGTAAGCAGATTAGATAAAAGCAAAGCTTTCCATAACGCTTTCTGTATGTCAAATTTGTAGAGTAGTCACATATTATCATCATCATCATCATCATCATCATCATCATCATCATCATCATCATCATCATCATCATCATCATCATCATCATCATCATCATCATCATCATCATCGTCATCATCATCATCATCATCATCATCATCAGCAGCAGCAGCAGCAGCAGCAGCAGCAGCAGCATGGTCCTTTTAATCAGTACACTTAGCTGAGGGTGAGAAACACACTGCAGCTAATGTGCCGCAATACATAATTAATGGACTAAAAATTATGCTACAGATTACCAAAGTACACTTAAAAAGTGTGATGTTACATATCCTACTATGCGTCTTGCATAAAATCGGAATTGAAGGGGGAACCTATACGGACGGGGATGGACAAAGAAATTCACAACACAAACACCATTGCGGCCGGCTCCAAGCTATATCAGCACGTGTGTCCAACCAAACGTGTTCATTCTCCTTAGGACCCCAGCCAGGCAGTCGGGATACACCAACAGACGATATCTTTCATCACTTTCGACCAAGTCATCGCTTGGCCACCCCACCTCTTCTTCTATCCATACACCCAGCGAGCAAACAACGCATGTCGCGTGAATCAGTGGGCTGACATTCGCAACCCATGGCCCAGCCATTGGAGCCTGATGCGTGATAAAACGGTGCTGAACGATTCACTGCCACTTCCTGTACCAGATACGCGAGGCCGAACACGCTCATTGCTCACGTGGCGCTCCACCCAGACATGAGGTAAGCTGCGAAGGCAGAGATGATCAAAAGTGGTTAGCCTCTTTACGTCTGCGCGGAGATTGGCGAAAGCGCCTCGATCTTTTGCTATACGGTTCTTAATCTCAACTTCGGTCCCACGGGCGCTACTATAGTTGCTCAGGTACTTGAAGTCCTGACCGACTTCTAGCTGATAACCACAAAGTGTTAGCGCAGGGGTGGCTTTCTGCCCAGCCTGGAGAATTGCAATTCAATAGACCAAAGCATAGCCCAATAATAGACAACCAGTGCTAATCGGTCCATTACTGCTTGGCATGTTTGGACGCTACCACAGATTAGGGCAATATCGTCCGCATACTCCAAGTCAGGAAGTCGCTTGTCAGGAAGTAGCTCCACACCTTCTAGGTCGCCTCCAGCGGATGTTGTTTCCATGACTTCGTCAACTGCGAAGTTAAAGGGGTATGGTGACAGCGGGGAACCTTGTCTCACGCCGCCGGTGCTACTGAAGAGTGGAGACAGTTTGCCATAAACCCTTACTCTACCCGATCTATGAGCATACAGTTGTTTGGCAATGTTTACCTATTGCGCAGGCACACTTTTCCTCAGCAGACTGTCCCAAAGGGCATATCGATCGACTGAGTCGAAGGCACCTTTTATTTCAAGAAACAGGACAACGATGGGCCACCAATAAACATGGCAGTGCTCCACCTATTGACGCAAGATAAAGAGGTGGTCTATGCAGCCCGAACCTCAAAGAAACCTGGCTGGCTCTCCACGAATCTGGCTTTCATGGGTGCCAGTCACTCGGTGGAGAATGACAGAGGCAAGCAATTTAGAGGCAACCGAAATCAGACTGATCCCTCTATGATTGCCGCATTCCAAACGGGAGTTTCCCTTGAAAATTGGGACAATGACGGAGCGACTCCAGTCTGTTGGGACAACCTACTGCTTCCAAAGTTTCACTAGCTACTCGTGTACATCATATACTAGAGTAAGTCCCCGAATGTGAAGAGGGCTGGGGGAATGCTGTCTACCCCTTCGGCCCTATGCAATTTCAACAGCCTGATCTCACGTTCGACTTCGGCGCGTTAGTTGGGATCCAAGGAGAAGTCCAAAAGTTGGAAGAGCGCTTAATGCCCGAAAAAGAAAGCCATAACTGAGCTTGGTTAAATTGCCCTGCAAAGTTTTCGGCTGAACGCTTCAAGCGTTTTGACAGGTTGTGGATCGGCTGCCCACTCCAGTCGCGTATCGTCTCACAAAAGCCAGATCTCCTGTTGTCTGTTTCCCGTATCAGACGGAATAACACGATGATTACCAATGGCAGAGGCTGTTTCCATCTCCAACGCACGATGAGACCACCAGGCTTCGCTGTCTTTCTTCAGGCTAACACGCAGTTTTACCCTGAGATTTTTGCGAGCCTCATTGTATTCGATTCCAGCCGGAATACGTCGGCGAGCATCTATAAGTTTTAGAGACTGTGTAGAGACCCTAATGTCCAGTTTGGCAATTTGATTTGCCACATGAAGACATGCCTGCTGATAGTAACGTTTGACGAATATGCGATCAGTGATCTTCGACGGTGTTCAGTGGGCGCTTACTCAGCCCGGATGTCAGCGCACTTTGATACACATTCAGAACACCTGGCTTCGCCAGCTGGCTGGTGTCAATCCGTTTACATCGACGTTGCGGACGTCCACCGAAACGCACCCGGAGGTCGGCGCAAACAAGTGCGTGGTCAGAGTCCACGCTCGTGCTCCAAATCGAGCGACAGATTTGGACACAGCCTCTCCAGCGGTAACTGATCGCGATATGATCGATTTGCGTCCATGGCTGGCCCGAGGCTGGTGGGCGTCAAGTCACGCTTCTGCGGGTGCTGTGTCGAAAGTTTGTGCTCGCGAGAAAGAGACGAGCATCTTCACACAGCTGTAGCAATCGCTCACCGTTATCATTACGGGAGCCTACACCATGTTGGCCGCCCAGATGAAGCTCATCAGAGGACAATTTTCCGACTTGGGCGTTTAGATCGCCAGCCAACACCACAGTATCGTGCTTCTTCTGTAACGAAGGAGATCATGAAGTTGCTGATAGAAATCATCTTTCACCGAATCAGTGCTACAGTTTGTAGGGGCGTAGGCCGCAATGACAAACAGGCACCGTTTGTTCCCGCGCGACTTCGTAGCATGGAACGAACCAGCTAATCTAACGGCGCACATCCGACTGTTGACTGGGATCCAATCGATCAGGGCAGCTTCAGCCCGGGACTCAAAACAATGCCGACGCCAGCTTGACCGGCATTTGAAGCTGCATCATCGCCAGACAGGCGCAATGAGAATGTGCCGCCAGTGTCGCATGTGGGGGATCGCAGGGTAAGCACGGCGCTCGAATCTTGCAGGCGGGTTTCTGATAAACAGCAAATATCGATCGATAGGGTCTCTAGTGTGCGGGCAAGTGCTGCCTGTTGGCCAATCTGTAGCAAAGTGCGCAAGTTGAGGTATGTCAGTCTTGACGAGACTCGAGGACTCCAAAGGAAACGGATGAACTGACGTTGTCCGCTTGGTTGAACATGGACTTGTCGACTGGATTGGAGCGACGCACTGCAACTGTGTAAGTTGAAACTAGAAGACAAGCGACTATTGAAGCAAGGTGGGGGAGGGCCAAGAATTGGGGGATTGAAAATGGGGGGATAAAAGTAAAGTTGGAGCGGGATGATAAGGATGAAAAAGCGCAAGAAGGGGATAAGAAGACGGGAAGGCCTGGGTAGTAGCATCCAAACCCCCATCCACCTCGCTCGATGCAGCTGATAGAGCACCGTTGATTATTGTCTGCGACTACCAGAGCATAAAGTGATTGTTAGAAGGAATGGTCACGGTGTATTGCGTGGGTAGGATACTCTCAGGTTGCCCAGGTCTAGACAGGAGAACGGTTAGAGTTCGCAACCAAAGTCTTTGGTTCAAAACCTTACCGCAAGGGAACGTGGTTTTGGCACTAAACTACATGGAGCCTGTTTCATGGAGTAAGAAGGCACACTTACTTCAACCCCCAACCTGGAGGACCAGTAGGCTGTGTTTGTCTGGTCTCTAACCATTGACCAATCTGATATGAGGGGCTCTGAAGGTGCAAAAAGCACTACCCATCATAGCTCAATGGATCACTGAGGCACACAACCCATGGCACCAGGTTAAGTTCCCGTCTCGTCGTGATGGTAGCCACACAGCTTTTTCGTGAAGCCTCGCTGGACCTTCTGAAGAGCCAACTGATCAAGTTTTCGCAGATTCGATTGAACGAATGTGCAATATTCCATACATGGCCGTTCCATTGTTTCGTAAAGTTGGACTTCAGAATTCGTGAGCCAACATTTTATGCGATCCCGTGGTACAAATTTATCAGACCACTCAGTTGGACTGTGCCTAGCACCGTCGGGGAATATACCGTTCCTTTATTTATTTATGTATTGATGAATTAAATGACTTCAAAAATTATAAGTCACCATGTGCAAAATACTTGGGAAGAATAGAACATCGCACGCTCAACTCGTGAACCACTCTGCATTGCGAAATGTATGTGGTTTCCAGTAACAGACTGTCTACCGATACTTGGCATCTGTAGAACAAAATATTAGACTTGTCTATGGCAAATGATCTGTCATAATTCCATGTTCTTGACTTTGATCGATTGTTCGCTCATTTCAGGTGTAGACAATAGACAGGTTATAAAGTGACCGAGTTATAATGCTTTTGGCGATTATCTAATTCCATGACAGTAGGTGTATAATAAATGCCACAACTCAAAAAGCATGCCGGACCTACGAAGTGGTGAGTTAGCCTACCTGGCGTAAGGTATGTACAATAACTCGTACGGGTTAAATGTCCCACTATAACTTCGAGTAAAGGCGATTGAGCGGTACCATGTCAGTGGAAAGTCGGTCAAACTGCCCCGCTCCACCTGCATCTGAAACAGCTGCCGCCAACATATTTCTTGTTTCACCGCACCAACTTGTTCAACGAGTTCTCATGAAGTACTTGTATTATCTGCCAGATTCACCTTCTTTTAAGATAGACTGTCTCTGGTATTGTAACAGGGGTCCTATTATGCAATGGAAATTACAGACAGTTTCGAAGCGGTTTACGCCATGTATAGTAGTTGTTCCTGAGCTCAATACTACATCCGATTTCGCAAGTATGTCTTACCTGCTGCGAATTATGTGGCCATCATTTCCGAAATGTTCGTCGCCCGATCTTCCAACGCAACTCGTCGATGGGGCTGTCTTCAGGACATAAACGAGATGTAGATGTACAACTCGGATTTATCTCCGAACCATAGTGGCGCTTGCTTTCTTGTTATCTTCAAATGAGAGCACTTTATGCCATCCATTAAGTACTGAGTCCAGACATACGTTCAAGAGTTTCCAAAGGCTCCTCATTGGTTTATCCATTCAGCCAACCACTACATCACTCGGATGGTCCATTAACGAAACTGTAGATAGTAGGAAAATTCGTTTCATGTTGCGTCTGAACCAGCTTACCCATCTTGCTCTATAAATTCTCCCAGAAGTGTTATCCATCCCATCATCCTCATCATATAGAGTGATGCGGGGGAATTACTTTTCAACTAGTCTTTTGCTTGTTGGGTACTGACTACTTCCTGTCGACTTAATTTTATGGATGTTTAAACGACTGGAACACCTGCACTGAGGCTAAGACTGGTGTTAACATTCGTTTTTTCTTCCCAGGTTGGAACTGAAACTTATGTGTGTGCCAACACCCATGAGCGAAACTTTACCGATTTTCTACTCACAAAGCTGAAAAGCAGTAATGAAACTTGTATCATCACGCATTTGAAAACTGACACCAGACTCGGATTACCCGTTACCATGTGACAACTCGGGATAGAGACTGATTTAACGAAAGAAACGAAACGTAACTGTTAGGAAACTTATCCAATAATTGTTGTGCTGAATCGAGAAACAAGTTTAGTATTCTACGTAAATTGTTTTATGACTGTCTGCTGGCTGGCATTATCTAAACTTGCCAAAGCCTAACTCCTTATTTGTTCTGTGTTTGCTATTTTGTTCCACGCAGAATCTCGACGGTGTCGTCAGAGCCTTGATCGTGGCTGTGGAGCTAACCGGCTGCCTATCAAATGAGGTAAATTTACCCATCTTTTTTTACAAGAAAAACGCAACCCAGTGTTGGTTGCGTAATAAATTTGGCCTCTTGTTGACCAGGAAACACTTCATTCACGCCTAATGGGTAGTTGTTCTTACTTGCAGCTTAACACTAATGCCACAGCAGACCAGTCAAATAGAAAAGTGGGGGGACGAGACGGACGGTCAAATGCCAGGGTGATGGCTATAATTGTCGCGAATGTGTGTACTTGGTGACGGGATAACGTGGCGCGTGTTTTCTGGGTGCTTATTATGGTCCCCCTATTTGCATTTGGGAGGCATGCAAGATTAGCGGAATATCTACCACAAGCTCATTAACACTGGACCAATGTTTACTGTTTGCCCGGTAAATTTCCGTATGATTACGCTGATGCAGGTTGAATAGAGATTTAAATCTGCAGAGTTGCACAAAGCAGTCTGTCCAATCGGCGCATTCTACTCATACGTCTGATTCATTGCACGGTTGTTTACAAAAGTGGCGCAATAGTACATACTTTGCAATCGAGATTGCCTAAAAATAAAAGGGCATTTAGTAGAGATCTCGTAAGAATATTCATCATCAGCCTTATACAGGTTAGCTAGAGGTGCAAAACACCTACGCTACTGGGCCGCAATACATAAAAGAAAAAAGAAGATAAATATAACAGTTGTATGCCAGCTGAGCTACCAGCAGCGGATAGGCATTGTTCCGGAAAGCTACCAGCCGACTACTAGGCAACAAGAAAAATTATGTTACAAAATTATATTATGCTACGAAATGAGATGATGGCTGGAGGGGAGGCTAAAAGGGATGGGGAGGGACAAAGAAACTCACAGCAGGAACGCTACTGAGGTGGGCTGCTAGCTATGTCAGCAAGTGTATATAGCCAAAGGTGTTCCTGGTCTATTGGTCCCAATTCAGGGAGCCCTGACGCTCCAACTGAGTCCACCTTCGAAGTGATGGCATTCCTTAATCTCGATAAAGTCATCGCTTAGCCACCCCTCTTCCTCTTGCATCCACACTCCCGGCCCGCAAACAATGCACTTCGCGGGAGTCGGTGAACTGGCATGCGCAACACGTGGCCGAGTAATGGGGGTCTGGTGCGTGAAATGAGGGTGTTGAGCGGTTCAATTCCTTTTCCTGCGCTTTACACAAGGCTTCGAACACGCTCGTTGCTCACGCTGAGTTCCCACGAGATGCGAGTCAAACTGCGAAGGCACGGATGGCCGAACGTAACTAGCCTCTTCATATCTGCTGATCTAAGGGGCCAGGTTTCGCAAACCTACAGTGAGTTCGCAAGTACTGCTGCATTATACACTCTAATGTTCAGGGCGAGAGTAATCTTGAGCCGACTCTATAGGTGGCGAAAATTAGCAAAAGTACTTGGAGCTCTTGCTATACCATTCGCAATCTCGTCTTCGATCACAAGGGCGCTGCTACAACTTCCCAGGTAGTTGAATTCCTGAACGACTTCTAGCTGATCCCCACCAGGGTTCTGCGTTGGTGGTGATCCCTGCCAAGCTTGGAGGAAAGCTTTGCACTTCGATGCTGCAAAGCAAATCCCGAAGCGGCAGACAGCCAGTGCTAATCTGTCCAGTGCAGCTTTGCACTTTTATGAGCTGTCACAAATGAGGGCATTGTCGTCTGCGTACTCCAAGTCAAGAAGTCGTTCACCTGGGAACAGATTCACACCTAAATCGTGTCCTGTAAATGCAATCACCATAAGTTGCTCAATAGCGAAATTGAAGAAGAAGGGTGACAACGGGCATTCTTATCTCACACCGCTGGTGATATTAAAGTGCGGCGACAGCTTGGTGCAAGCCCACACTCTGCCAGTGCTACGCACGTATAATGCTCGGATAATATTTATGTATTTCTCGGCACACGTTTCCTGAGTAGACAGTCCCAATGGGCACTTCGATCAATCGGATCGAAGGCACCTTTGATGTCGAGTATCATGACTAGGGTGGGCCGCTAATATGTGTGACGGTGCTCCAACAATTGACTCAAAGTGAAGATGTGACCAATGCAGCCACGGCACTGACGCAACCCGGCTTGCTCCTCACGAATCTGGCTTTCACGAGTGCCAATCAGTCTGTGAAGGAGTACAGAGACAAGTATTTTGGAGGCGATAGGAATCAGACTGATTCCTCTATGGTTGCCGCATTCCGAACTCGATGGATGGGAACAATAACGGAGTGGCTCAAGTTGGTTGGGACAATTTCCTGCTCCCACCGTTTCACTAGTAATTCGTGTAAACCATCAACAAGAGCAGGCCCCCTGAATTTGAAGAGGGCTGGATGAATATCATCTGGTCCCGCGGCTTTGTTCAACTTTAATAGTCCGATCTCAAGTTTGACTTCTGAGAGAGAAGGCGGATCCAAAGAGAGCCCACGGAGCAGGGCGATCACTGGCCGGTAAGGAATAGAACAATTCCGACCGATTAAATTTCCTTAAAAAGTGCTCAGCACGAGGCTCCAAACGTTTTGACAAATTGTAGATAGGCTGTCCACACTCGACATATATAGTTTCACTAACACCAGGTCTCCTGCTGCCCGTTTCCCGTATCAGAGGGAAAAAGTTACGATAGTTATCAATGGGAGCGACCATTTCCATCTCTGAAGTACGTAGAGACCACAAGGATTCGCTCTCTCTCTCTCTCTTCAGGCTAGCATGGAGTTTTGCCCGGAGCTCTTTGCGAGTTTCACTGTGTTCGCTTCTAGGCGGAATATGCCGCCGAGCATCGATAAGTTCCAGAGACAGCGAAGAGACTCAATGTCTATGTTGGCTATTAGATTTACCACATGGGGATTTTCCTGCTGCTAGTAATGTCTGGTGAATATGAGACCAGTGAGCTTCAATTGCATCCAGTGAACGCTTAATCAACTCGCATGACATCGCACTATGATAGGCATTCCTAACAGCTGGTTTCGCCAGTTGGCGGGTGTCAATGCGCCCACAACGTCGTCTTGGGCATCCGCCAGAACGCATCCACATGTCCACACATACAAGTGCATGCTCGGTGTCTTTACCTGTGCTCCAAATCGAGCGACAGTTTTGGACGCAGCCTCTCCAGCGGTAACTGCTTAAAATGTGATCGCTTTGCGTTTATAGCTAGTTCAAGGCTGGTGGGCGCCAAGTCACCCTCCGGCGCGTGCTGTGTCGGAAATTAGTGCTCGCAAGAGATGAAGTAACCGCCCACCGTTAAACTTACGGGTCTACACTGTGCTGACAACCTAGATGCATTTCCTCAGTGCGTAGGAATACTGATAGCCGTAAATACTAAAAGTAAGAGAGGTGGTAGTAGCCGTTCAGTTCCGTAGATCACCTATGATCCGAGCACCGAAATGCGGTGGATCCAGTTGCCAAGACCTACATAACAAGGATAAAGATATATAACTCCGGTAGGATAGTGGAGCTAGTTGCAAATAGAACGTATAGAAAATGAACGAAAGACGGAAGTACCTTAAACTGATCAGGGTGCAAGAAAAAGTAACAACCAGATCCAAGAAACCGATCGTAACAATGCAACTGAGTACGTGACGGCGCCATGTCTAGTGCGATCTCTAACCACTAGAGTGGATCATCCTGTGATTGGATTGTGCAAGCAGGCGGAAAACGTTCCGCATGCGAACAGAGCAGTTGATTGGACAGCTACACATATTTCATCTAAGCGCGATTTGGCTCGCTGGAGCGGGTTCGTTTAACTGATTCAAAGGAAGAATCCCATGAGTGCGGCAGCGTCGTTAATCATGGAAACGACTTAGAAATTTGTCGAGGTTCCTACATGCTTGTTAGGCTGTCATTTTTGCTGAATAAACTGTTTGTCCCTGAACGGCCGAGTGCTGCGACAATCCCCAGGCCCTTATAAACGAAGAACGCACGCACCCGCCTGACCAAGACTCTGTTAACTTTTTCATGCCACCATGCCACGTCATGGACTGGCCACCTCGGGGTTTCGCCTAACTTGGTGCACCTATGGCGTACAATGCACGCCGAGGAAGCCGAGCAACGAGCATACGTAAGACATGGCCTAGCTAACGTAAGCAATTAAGATTCAACAAACGCTGCAGTGAATCACCAGAGCGCTTCTTGTCAAAAACCAACTAGCGCATCTCAGCATTGCTCACCTGGTGTTTCCACCAGATGTGAGCAATAATCCGTAAGCATCGGTGATGAAACACGGCTGAGGGATTAATGTCTTCACTGCGAAGTGACCAGACCTCTGATCAATACAGTTATGCACCCTACCTTTTTCACTGACAGGCTGATATCCCGCCGGCTCCATAGATGGTTTGGTCTCTGGAAAGTCACACGGGCCTTGCTGATACGCTAAGTAACTTCTCAGTGATGTGATCACCAGATGTGACACCGCTATCAAGGTAATGAACCGATCCAGCACTTGCAGTGGCTGTTTGGTGTAGCTAGAACCGGAGGTGTGCCAGTCCAGTCCTGTAGCAGTACATCGCACTGTGAAGGTGCAAAGCACATGTCGAAGCATGCGACGCTACGCGTCAGTCTCTCCAGCAGTGTCTGTAAAGTCACTGCTACGGACTCAAGGAGAGCTACATCGTCCGCATACTCCAGGTTTGTCAGTCGGTTACCTGGTAGAACTTCACTCCGGTGGACTTTGAAAGAACAGACTCAGTCATAAGCATTTCGGTCACAAATCTGAAGAGGAAAGCATATATAGGACAACTCTAGACAGCCTCACTTGTCGTGGGGAAAGCCCTGCTGCATGCGGTGAAGAAACTGCAATTGCGGAAGCAACAGGTGTCGATCGCGTGTGCCTAAGTCAGGCAGGCCTAGTGAGCTACGAGCGAGGCCACTCGTGACCAGCAGCGAAACGACGACAGATCTTGCTGGGAACGTAAACAGAACCGGCGCAGCGTTCGTAGGTACGCTGCGTTCGAATTTTTAACCATGTGCTTGCCTTCTGAGTTTCTTACTTTTGGGTGCTCGGTTTGCGATATGTTGTTAATACTTACGTTCTTACCTCA